AAAAAAAATTATAAGAAAAAATGTCATAGGGGTTGATTATTTCAACCCCTTACAAAAATAGTTCAGGGTTGAAAAAAATTCAAAAAGTGTAGTTTTATTGACAGATAATGTTCACCAAGTTTGGTTTCTTTAGCTTGATGTACGTGGAAGATAAAAAAGAAAAACAATTTTTTTTTGTAATTTTAGGAGGGGCGTAACTTTTCAGGGAAGGGTTTTTTCAAAAAATTGTATACCAAAGACCCCTATTAATTTTCATCGGAGAATCGCCCCTTGAATTTTTTCGGTGTTATTTAGATACACCCTGTATATTGTTCATAGCTTCTAGTTTGAGCACTCCTAAAAGAGGCTTGTCTTTTCAAGTCTCAACTTACGTCACTTTAGTTAATACGTTTATTTAAAGTTCCATTCACAATTTTTTTATACTATTATAAAATAAAGGACATCCTGTACCACTTAAGTACTGCTCAATAAAAAACGAAAAAAATTGCAAGCGCTGCGATTACGTCACATATTCTACATTGTGTTTTTTTTGTGATGGTTCCGTAGATAGTTCAGACGATTCACTTAGAAGAGTGACAGACGAATTTGGCCGCCACAAGCTAACAGGTATGTAATTAGTTGTTATGTAAGTCTGCTTGGTTTTTAGAAGTACTGCACATTTTTAATGTACGATAAATATTTTATACTTCACATTCAACTTGCTGAAATTGAAAGTTTGTGTTGCTGAACATTCATACATAATACAGGGTGTCCGGTAAGTACCTCCTAATCTCTCGGGAGTGTATAGGGGAGGTCAAAATAAAACTAGTCCTTCCTATAATTTTTTTTCCTAATGTGCCCCCTAACGGAGTTATGGGGGGTCAAAGGGGTACCTAGAAATTAACGTTTAGGGTTATAACTTTGAAACCACCCTGTATATTTTAATAAAATTTTCGTACGTTGTATTACACATGGAGCTCTACGATTTGATGCTAAAATCAACTTTTTGCTATTATCAGGTGTCCAGAAACGGACTGGCCCTATCACAATTTTTCTCAAAATTTTGACAGAAGTAATTTTATCAAACTGAAAATATTATTATTAGATACTCTGAAGGTTTTTCTTTAAAAATGGTACTCTTTATTTATTTCGAAAAAATGAACGGTTTGCGAGATAAATCGGTTTTGAAAAAAATTGGTAACAAAAACAACAATTAAAATTTATTTTTTTTACATATTATTTCATGCATTTAATTTCTTTAACTTTATCAAGTCCAGAAATCTTTGAACGGGTTGGCTATACTTTATGAGCAAGTAGTGACCAATTAAAAATAACATTTGAAAAATAACTTACTTACAAGACATGCAACAAAGAACATTCAACAATGAACAAAGGTACCTAAATGTTACTTCGGTAGATGTTCAAAATGAGCACCCCGTACTTCAATGCACTTTCTAATCCTACGAATGTTTTCCCGGTGCACTTGAAATAATATTCCGTGATTATTGCGGAGATGGTCACAGTTCTGTGTTAGCCTCAGCAGAAGTTCCTCTCTACTATTTACGGGTGTTGAATAAACGTTATTTTTTAAATGACCCCACAGAAAAAAGTCTAATGGGTTTAGGTCGGGCGACCTAGGTGGCCATAATACAGGTCCGCCTCGACCTATCCATCGATCACCAAAAACATTCGTCAGATGTTGACGTACTAAACGATCAAAGTGGGGTGGTGCACCGTCATGCATGTACCACATTTCAGTTCTTATTTGAAGGGGCACTTCTTCTAACAAAATATTTAGATTTTCCTCTAAAAATTGCAAATAAAGAGCACCATTAAGTCTTTGCTCCAGAATAAATGGACCAATCAAATGATTCCCGATAATGCCAGCCCACACATTCACCATAAACCTTTGTTGGTAGCGAGTTTGAACTAAAGCGTGAGGGTTTTCTTCATCCCAGACATGTAGATTATGCGAATTAATTATGCCGTCTCTTGTAAAACCTGCTTCATCGGTGAACAAAATAGATGTACCAAAATTATGATTCCGAATATGATGCTGTAAAAACCAATTGGCGTATTGAAGTCTTTTTGGATAATCATCTGGAGACATAGCATGTACTTTTTGGATGTGGTACGGGTAAAGCAATTGTTCTTTCAGAGTTTCATGTACAGCCCATTTTGTAACATTGTTTTGCGCCGCAAGCTTCCTTATGCTATTTGAAGGATTATTAGCAACGTCTTCCAATATTTGTTCCTCTACATGAGGGTCTCGTACTCTCCTCGGGGCTCCTGCTCCACCACGGCGTGGCAAAAAGCTTCCTAAATAAAGGATTCGGAAGAAATTAGTTTCACTAACGTTTTTCACTATTTTTTTTTACCTGTTTCTCTTAAACTACGATCAACTCTTTCAAAAGTTTTTGGACTCGGCAAATGTCGACCCGGAAACCTTTCCTCATAAAGTCTTCTTGCCTCCACGGAGTTGCATAATGCTTCCCCATAAATTAGGTGCATATCAGCATATTCTGCACAGGAATATTCTTCCATTTTTAAATGTTATTTCTAACGGCTTAAAACGAATACCACAATAAAATTGAATTTTTATTCTGTCACGCGCCTTTGACAAGTACTTTAAAATCAACAGGGTCTAACAACGAAAACAATAGAAAAGAACTCCATGGAGACAAGAGCAATAATAATTTGTAGATGTATTTTGGTCATAGATGTTGATTTTACAAGAAACGGCATTATTCATTCCCTTAATTCACCACCAGTAAATGTTTATGGTGAATCTGTAGGCTGGCACTAGCGGGAATGATTTTATTGTAAAAAAATAAATTTTAATTGTTGTTGTATTTGTTACCAATTTTTTTCAAAACCGATTTATCTCGCAAACCGTTCATTTTTTCGAAATAAATAAAGAGTACCATTTTTAAAGAAAAACCTTCAGAGTATCTAATAATAATATTTTCAGTTTGATAAAATTACTTCTGTCAAAATTTTGAGAAAAATTGTGATAGGGCCAGTCCGTTTCTGGACACCTGATAATAGCAAAAAGTTGATTTTAGCATCAAATCGTAGAGCTCCATGTGTAATACAACGTACGAAAATTTTATTAAAATATACAGGGTGGTTTCAAAGTTATAACCCTAAACGTTAATTTCTAGGTACCCCTTTGACCCCCCATAACTCCGTTAGGGGGCACATTAGGAAAAAAAATTATAGGAAGGACTAGTTTTATTTTGACTTCCCCTATACACTCCCGAGAGATTAGGAGGTACTTACCGGACACCCTGTATATTCCGGCTTTCATTTGCATACGCAAACTTAATGGGCCCGATATCTTGGCATTTCGTTTGCTATGCAAATCGCATTATACTTTATGTATATTTGTCATTAGTTTTAATTACTACAATTTTTCCGACATGGTATTCAGCTTAAAAACTTGATGGAGGGCTTTAAATTGTTCGGAATATTTTTTTTGTATTAATGATACACAGTCAAGCGTTACATATATCTAGTACGATACTTTTTAAGTTGCCCCTAGGTATAGAACATTACCGTTTACTTCATTTGAGTGAAATATATCGTAACAGTAATTAAATAAATAAAGTATTTTAACGTGTAGTTAACTTAATTATAAATAATAACTAGTTTTTCAAAAACATGTTAGTGTAAGTAAACTTTATTATAGGGGTTATGGCTGTATATAGGAAACGCCTATTTCATTGCTTTTTTATTAGAAACATGCCAAGACACCTACTACTACCTACTATTTACAAGATAATTAAATTACTTACTCTGCAATGCAGGTTGAATTTTTACTGTTGCGTGTAAATTATTGTAACTGTAATTGTTAAAAAAAAATTCGTTATACCTACTGCAAGAAAACATTAAAAAATTTTGAAACTTTGAAAAGTAGACTATTCATAAAAATTAAAGGAAAAAAATTCCAAAATTTTTAGGTGATTTTTAAAAGGCTTGACAAAAATCTTTAAATAAGCAATTTTTTTCTATATAATCATTAGTTCCCGAATAATCAATTTTCAAGGACAAAAAGGTCATTTTTACATTGAACGACAATAACTTAGCGATAAATCATCGTAAAAAGCTCTCGAATAGCTCAAATTAAAGAGAATTAATCATACTAAAAGAGCTGACAGGTGGGAGTGCAAGAAAAAAATGTGGACCTTTTGAAAGGGAAACGAAAATTTTGAAATTTCTTTTTCCGCTGGATTTGTTAAAGCTGGTCAACGATAAAAATGTTCAGATTCTGAAACTAGAAACCTCAAGCTTCAACTGGCTTTTTATTTTAATGCTATACGACGATTTTTCGCTATGTTACAGCCTTTTGAAAATCACTTACAAATTTAGGATTTTTTTTGTCCTTCAGTGATTGTTGACTAGTGTAAAATATCATTAATTACGAAATAAAGACAGAAACAGTGCTACTGTCCTTTACTTAGGTATCATTGTACCTAATATTTCTATTTATCTTTACATTTGTGTTTATTGCATGATTTTTTTGTTTCATTCTTGCATGGTGTTAGATGTTTTGGAGGAAAATGAGGAGGATGGTTTTGGCCGTTCTTTCAATTATCCTGTAATTCGCAAACGATATTCTTCCAGTAAGTTATGTAAAATAATAATTGAAACTAACAAACCATTATCATATTTTGACTAATCCTTCATATGTATTTTGGTAATTATACAGGGTGGCCAAATGAAAACGAAACAGCCATTTTCAGGAACTGCGTCAAGATTGTAGAAAAACGCTCAGACCCGTCAATTTTAGATTAAAGAGGGACTTTCTTTGCTGGTATTTTTGACTCCGCCATTTTCACCCCAAGCAAGGATAAGCATCACCCCAAAATATTTAAATGGCATTGGGGGTTGAGTAATATTTCCTTTGAAAGCTCTTACAATTCTCTTTACAACAGACTTTACATTTTGTAATGGATTCCGTCCAATACTTATTAAGAATTTTGATTTTAAAGTTGAAACTTATGTACAAACAATTAGTAACGGTAAAAATGTCAGTCATTCGATTTAGTATTTCTTGCGTTACATTGGTTTTTGGCGATTTGTTATCACTTTTGTAAAAAAAACACAATTGTAAAAAACAGAAATGAATGCTATACACACACAATGAACGTAAAATTAATGGATTCCAAATTATTTTCTAGTATTATTTGGAATCGTTGGTTGGCAGTTTATTTAATTGTGTTTTTGAAAATTAAACACTATGGTTTATTCCATTGGGGAAAGGGTAGATATCATTTCGCTTTACTTTATGAACAATAAATGTGCGAATAGAACAGCTCAGCTATTTAATAAACAACATCAAGATCGACATGCCAGGAGGAAGTATGTTCTAGAGTTAGTAAAAAAATTTCAATAGACAGGAAACGTAGCCAATAAAAAACGAGAAATTGAAAAACCTGTAGTTAATAAAGCTAGTGAAGTTGCAATTTTGGGACAAGTTCATCTTGATCCTACATTAAGTACGAGGCAGCTGGCATCTGTGTCTGGGATCAATCGAACTAGCATACAAACCATTCTGAAGAAGAATAAATTCCATCTATACAAAATATATTTAGACCAGGAACTTCATGAGGATGATTATGAACGTCGTTTGCAATTTTGCGAAATAATGAGTGAGCGAGCAGGGAACGGTCCACAGTTCCTTTTTAACATCTATTTTTCTGATGAATGCAGTTTTTTCTTGAACGGGACTGTAAATCGTCACAGTTGCCGCTATTGGTCCGATTCAAATCCAAGAGTTTTTCACGAGGTGCATACACAGCAACCGGAAAAATTAAATGTATGGATTGGAATTTTTGGTGATCGGCTGGTGGGTCCTTTTTTTTCTACCTGGTAATTTGACTGGCCAAATGTATTTGCAATTACTGGAAGGCGCTATTGACTCTGCCTTGACTGATATTATTGAAAATGTTCCAGAGTATGATGAAGATCATTTGATTTTTCAACAGGACGGTGCTCTTCCGCATTATGCGTTAATTGTCCGTCAGTATTTGGACCAACGATTTCTACGGAATTGGATTGGGAGAAGAGGCAGCCTTGAGTGGCCTCCACGATCACCGGATTTATCGCTCCTTGATTTATTTTTTTGGAGATACCTAAAAAGTAAAATCTATAAAACACAGCCAGCGTCGCTGGAAGATTTGCGTCAAAGAATCGTCGACGAATGCCGTCGAATCACTCCGGAAATGCTTTGGAATGTGCGCGAACGTTTCGAACAAAATCTTTATATGGAAGCGGGCGATCATCAGCCTGAACATTTAATCAATTAAGTAATAAGTAAGCAACTAAACATAATTTAAATTTTAAAATGTACATTTTTTCCAAAGTATTGGTCGGAATTATGAAATTTAAAGTCTGTTGTAAACAGAATTGTAAGAGCTTTCAAAAGAAATATTACTCAACCCCCAATGCCATTTAAATATTTTGGGGTGATGCTTACCCTTGCTTGGGGGTGAAAATGGCGGAGTCAAATATACCAGCAAAGAATGTCCCCCTTTAATGTAAAATCGACGGGTCTGAGCATTTTTCAACAATCTTGACGCAGTTCCTGAAAATGGCTCTGTTTCGTGTTCAGTTGGCTACCCTGTATGTTATATTCAGTTAAGGAAATGAACATTTTGGTAATGACGTCCTGTATAATGTGTGGGTCTTTCTAAATTAAATTAAAAGATATTTTATTTGTCTTGTATAAGTACTGTTGTAGGTGTAAATGATTTCACTCTTTTGGAAAGAGGATAAAATTAAAATAGTTTAAAAGTTGATATTCCAGGTAATAACTTTAAAAGATGAAATCATCTATGAACTGCAAATCTCAGATAGGTATAACATCATTATTGACAACTGAAATCGCTAATCCTTTCTTTTTTTCACTATTACACGTCTACATCACTTGAAATTGCAGTGTGCTTGCATCATGTTGCTACTGCAAAGCTTTGAGCCTTTTATCGAATTGATTTTGTTGTTTGCACAAACATCTGTAAAATGCAGGTGTCAGCATGTTGAAATTTTTCACTACACTCTAGTTTATATTTTCTGATCTTCAAGTTTATAAAAACTACAAAAATAAATCTTGGGTATATTATCTTAATATGTTTAATCTACTCTCCATACTTATATCTTAATTATGTGTATCAACAATAAGGTATAAATATTTCTCTGTAACAAACAACTATAATTGAACACATTGCACATATTTTATTGTATTATATAAATAGCATTTGATTATTTCAAATGTCAGAAGCAATTCAATGACAGAAAGGTCAACATTAATTATTTACGTCTAACTGAATCTATTAAAACATCGAAATAACCTGTTAAAGTGGTAAATGCAGTTTGAATATTTCAGCGTTTTCAAAAAGATAAAAATCCTTTTAACTTCAATTTTGTACTTTTTTTTAATATTGCAATAACATTTCACGTATTTTCCACTCGATCAAGATTAGTAGTAGAAGTAGTTTGTAGAAGATACTGGTACAAATTTATTCATATTTTAAACACTACAAGTGCGAGTTGGGAATACTAGTTGTGTTTAATGATGTTAAATTTCAGCGATTATGTTCGTGACTAAACGCGGGCTAATAATCTGATGCGTGTTTTAACTCATGTTCATTTGTTTTTATAAACTGGGAGAAAGTGTACCATTTTGAATATTTTATCTCGTAGCTATTAGAAGTTAGGTGTATAGAAAATACGTTCTTAGTTACGAATGCACACAAAAATTTAGCATAAATGTGTTACAATTATTGCACTTTGTAAAATTTTACAAATACATACTTGTAATATTTTACAGTTGCATCTTGTAAAATTTTACATTTCCATTTCACCCTCTCTGTCTTATGTGTATAAAAATAAATCCACCACGTTTTGTATGCACCTTGCATGTAATATTTGTCGCTTTGTCTGTTGCTTGCGCAGCTGGTAGCAATGCTTCCTCCATGGACGGTCTGTGGGACATCCATCCTAGGCGTCTGAGTGAGGCAGGACTCAGCCGTCACGCAGGTATTGTTTCGTTTATTTTGCATCATGCATGCTTTTTGTTTGGTTTGTCTTGGCATCGCTGTTTTGTACTTCTCCAGTAAGTATCGACATTCACAGCGGGAACAACACGTACCTTTCTTTTATTAATATTTTAATTTTTTTTATGTAGGTACTTATTTATGTATTAGTTCATGGATGTCTTGATTTTAAAAGTGTATTATTAATAAAAATATTGATATTTCTAATCTGTCGACAGAGAATTAAAATCAAGATGTTAAAACATTACTAAAAAAATAATATTTAGTTTTATAGATTGGAGAAATAATTACTAAATGGTCGACAGTTCTATCTAAAACTGATACACTAACATGCGTCCAGTAATTGTAAACTTCTAATCCTTTTGGCACAGATTCCAGCGCTATCCTCACCGAGGACACAGACAGTTTCATAATTGGTCAAAGGGTATGGGTTTCGGGTACCAAACCAGGGCACATAGCCTTTATAGGCGAGACTCAGTTTGCACCTGGGGAATGGGCTGGTATCGCCTTAGATGAACCCATTGGTAATTTCCAGTTTGTCTTTATTGAAATGAAGTATAACAAGTTTTTTTTCAGGCAAAAATAATGGTTCTGTGGGTGGTATTCATTACTTCCAGTGTGAGCCTAAGAAGGGGGTATTTTCAAGATTGACCCGACTCACTAGGGTGCCATTGGCACAAGAAGGGATGGGTTCCGGTGACACCTACATTGCCTCCACCCCTTCCCCAGTGGGTAACGGTGTCAGAAGAAGTCCCATATCACCCACTGGTAGCACAAAGGGTCTGCTAAGGTCTCCAATGTCTATAAGTAAGCTATTATGACTATAATTTGGGATTTTTTTAAAATCGTTCTTTTAGGTGGTTCTAATAATAGTCTAGCTTCATCAGTCTCACACGTGATAGATTATAAAGTGGGTGACCGAGTTATAATAAAAAGCAGTCAAGGGTCCAAGGTTGGTACCGTGAGGTATATTGGCACCACCGAGTTTGCCAACGGGGAATGGGTGGGTGTTGAACTGGATGATCCCAGGGGTAAGAATGATGGATCAGTCAATGGGAAAAGGTTAGTCAAACTCTTTTGTTAGACACAAAATAAAAAAGTGGTTTATTCTGATGATTGTACTACCCAATACTGACCATGTCAAATAATCTCCTAAAAAAATCTGTGAAATCGCACAATTTTTGGTCCGAAACACAGTAACGGGATTGGTACTGAAAAGAATGACCTCTTCAAATCGACGTCCCATATAATTTATGAGGTCAAGGAAAAACCACGACCTGACCGTTGAAAACTTCTTGGGTCCAAATATATGTGAGGGTAGTCTAATCTCCAGGGCCACCCATTTTTTTAATTTTTTTGTGCTTGTGTAATTATGAAAAATTTATTTTTAGGTATTTCGAATGCAGGCCTAACTTCGGACTCTTTGCCCCCGCTTCGAAGGTAAGCAAGTCACCTTCTAAAATTAAGCCGAGTGCCTGCCAGGTTCACTCGGGAAGCGGCCTGCCACCTACCGGCTTGAAAAGAACTAATTCTAAAGACTCCATGCAGTCGAACCTGTCGATGATTAGTACAGCATCTAGCGTTAGAAGGGTAAGACTTGGGGTCACATCTCTAACTCCAAAGGTAGGTTGAGTGTTGGCTTAGATTTTGTAATAAACTATGCCAAGGAAGACGAATAACCGGATGCCTGTTTTTCGAGTTGGAGATCTCGGTTATCTGAGGAGATACAAGTTAGCCAAAATTAGGGCAAATTTCGCGGAAATTGATGATGAATATTTTTTCTATTTGTTGTTATGGACGAAAAGCTTATTTCTTTTATTTTCAGTTTAATTTTTATCGAAAATGCCACTTTTTTAACTTGGACATTGTTAAGACATATTGGCCGTGGCGATTATCAGGATAGGTGAATGACATTCAAGTTTCTTTTTCTTGCATTGGATATTTGTTATATATGTTATGGTTTAGTTTTTGTTTTTGTCGCAAAATACCAAATTATCCAATTTTACAAAGAGTGCTTTGTGAAAACAAAACATCCAACTACATATAATTTAAACAGTTCAATTACATTTTCATTGACGTCTATGTTTAAAAAACTAAAATATAATTTTCGTATAAACTTATTGGTTAATTAATATCATTTCATCATAAAAATGCCTCGAATTTCGTCGACAAAACTAAAATAAAAATAATAAAAATTTCCTTTAGCGTATTATTCGAAATCAAATTCTGTAACTTTGGCCTAATTTGTCCGACCTTGTGTCTCTTAAGATAACTGAGATTCCGAGCTAAGGCGTCCCGAAAAACAAGCAACCTACCTGCACATATAATAAATTGTATAAAATATGCTCCTGTACTGTAAGCAATTTTTGGCATGGTTTAAAAAAGGGAAACAATAAAGTTAAGATACAACACCAACCAACCAACTAGGTTAAGAAGATAAGTTGATTTTTGAAGAAAATGCATGGGTTTAATGTAACATTTAACATTATTTTTGATTTTGAAAATGCACTCTAACTATTGATATAACTTTTAATTTTTGTGTTTTATTTTTCGCTCAGTAACGTTCCAATTAAATATTAAAACTTTTTCTCTTTGTGGAATGTCTTGCGAATTTTTATACAGTGTTTTAAAAAATGGTGCAATAAATTCAGGGATTGGTCTAAAGAAATTTGAACAAGAGTGTCGTTTTATAAGAAATTAAATTCTCAGTCTCCCTCTCTCTCTCTCTCTCTCTCTCTCTCTCTCTCTCTCTTATTCATTCATTATAAATGTCACATGTAAGAATGCAGCAAATCTAAGCTCTGAAAAAATTATATGCACTCCTTTCATATTTGGCATGCTCAAAGTCTCAGTTATAGCAAATTTCAATGAAATACAATGCTTTTTAATGAAGATATGGCTTAAGTTTATTTTAAAAAATCATCTTTTACTACTTATGTATGAACAAAAAGTTTTTGATGTTTTATCAAACCCTGGATGTATGTCATATTTTTTCACATCTTGTATAAAAACGTAGGAATATGTGTTTTGTTAAATTTATTTTTTTAAGTAATATTGGATTGAGATATTTTTTTTACTTAATTTCTGCATGATATTGTGTGGTATTGTTGGTTTGTGTTATTTCTTTTCTAATTTATGTTCAGAAATATTGAAAACATATAGAGTAATTTTTCAACATATGTACTTATGTCTACTATCTCTGAAATTACTTTTTTTACATAACGAAATATTGATCAATATTTCTAGACTTAATTTTTTAACCTTTTTCATTTTTGGTTTTCAAGTTGCGGAACTGTTCACTGAACATTTTCTCCATTGTTACTAGTAGTTACAATTTTTAACAAATACAAATTTTGTTCAGTGTATATCCGCTACAGAATTCTTCTCTATTTTTTATACTAATCCACGGTTTTTGCAATCTGTTTTTGATAGAAGGCACCCACAAAAACCACTACCACCCCCATTCCAACGAGGACTGCCCTCCAGGTAACCTACTAAATGGTTTAGCAAACCACTCGTAACCATTCCGCACAACCATCTTTAAGGTTTCGTAGTCGTAGGGATGCATTAACGGTTATTGTTCGAAAGCTATGAATATTTTATTTTTATAAAATAAAACAACTAAACTGATACTGTTAAGTTTTTAATGTGTTAATTATTGTTCTAGCTTATTTATATTTTTAATTATTATGAGAAAATATTATTGTTATAAATATTAATAAAACATACTTATCTTGTTGCTTTTTTTTAATTTTCTTATGCTGGGTAAGTACGTCTCTGGAGAACATATATAAATCATTTTGCAACTTTGAGTATTTACAGGAAATTTTAATGTAAATATTTACCTTTATTATTTGTTTTTCAATAAATAATGCCTTGAACTGTTTTCTTTTTATTCCAGGATAAAATGTTTTAAGGTTTTGTATCCAATTTTTATGCTTCATGCTTCTGTATTTTCTTATTTAACATAAATCCTTCAGGCCTCTACTTGAAATACTTTAGCGATGTGATAAAATTCTGAATAAAATGAATATATAGTAGGATGTTGAATAAGTTGCCGCTGTTTTTTCGTGAAAATTAATGTCTTATTAAAACAAATAGTAAAAAAACATGTCACTGAAAGTATTGTTTTCCCGGTATTGCAACATGTGACCGAGCATTCTCTAGACTCTAGGCCAGTAAAAAGAGCTGGGAAATGCCAATTAGTTGCAAAATGAAATATACGACGCAAGCGCGTGATATAGTTATATATTATTACAGCTTTAAGTTAAAAAAAATCGTAAAAATTCGTTGAAGAACAACAGACTGTCAAATATATATTATTTTCAAGCAAATTTAGTTTTTTTAACGGCAGATCTATGAATATTATAGTCATTTTCGTTCGCCCCTCAAGCGACCCCCTGACTTTTAACAATATTTCTTACGCACTTCTACAAATAAAATATTTTTATCTGGGAAAATACTAGGGTTGCCGGTTATGACAGTATTTATTTGCCGCTACCAACCTAATTTGTTTAACAATAGGCCGTCAACTTTAACAGTCTGTAACTCCGTTGTTTTTCAACGAATCTTGACGATTTCTCCCGTTAAAGCAGCTGTTCACATGTGCAAAGATGTCGTTGTCCCTCAATTTCAACTCGTAAGGCACCTAATGTCCTTGCTTTTGAATCATTCTTAATGCTTTCAAACGTTTCGAAACTGCTAATTATTCTTCATCTTCAAACTGTTTCGGTGCGCCCGAGCATCCTCTATCTTCAAATCAAAATATTTATTTTTGAAGCATATAAACCGATGTCTGCATGTTGTTTGCGAGAGAGCACGGACAAGAATTCTGTGTGCTTCAGTTGCAGATTTTTTTTGAATAATGTAATGCAGTAAAATTCCCCGCAAATACTCTTTTCGGCACGAAATTTGACATATTTCACACTATGAAAAAAAAAAAATAATTTACACTTCGCCGAATAACATACTATCGTAGGATCATATTCGATGCAAAGTAATAAATCATTGCCTGTCAAGGGATCCAGTGCAGTACGCTTTTAAGGGTTTTAGAAATTGAATAATTTATACATTATGAAGGGACGAGGGGATCAGTTCACGTCTGGCATCCTTGTTCCTACAAAAATTCCTTTATTCTCATAAACTATTTATTTTAAATGTAATTTATTATAAATTCAATTTGTTTTTTAAATTTCACAAATGTACTACATTTTACCTCTGTGCGCGCCACTGTTGTTTACTTGTTTTTTGGAGGCGCTCTCTGATTTACAACCGAGCACGCCAGGTTAGTATTTGACATATAACCGATCACTTCGTACACTCGATGCACCTGGGCGACTACAGCTACTACCAGAACACAGTGCGTATGCAGCGGTATTTCAGATTTTACATTCAATTTCATTTTAAATTTGAAATGGTTCATCTTACGCCTCTTAAAAATGATGACACGATTTTCCTTTGATGAAAGATCGACAACTTTTTGCTCTACTTTGCATCGAATACGATCCTACTATAGTACTCTCAAACTTGCTTATAGTACTTCTTTATAGGTGCGTTATCATCTTAAATTACACGCTTGCAATTCTAGTAACGTCATCTGTTGGAAAACAGCGAGAATTTATTCAACGTCTCATTAGTTTGAGATAAATTATTGATAATAAATTGTGCTCTCTATATTTTTGCTGATTATATGAAAAATAGGAGAATTTTTAAGCAAACAACTTGCTTGTAGTTTTTTTTACTATCAGAAATAAAATTAGGAGCTACAGTAGTATACATATACAGGGTGTCCCGCATAAGAACCTGCACAGAGCAGGTGCATGTAGGGGTGTCCAAAATATTGTAATTTAACCAAACTTACCTATATACAAAGTTGCACCTCTGAGGAGTTAGATATTTCTGTCTGTCTAATACGGTTTTTCTTGAAAACCATAGTTTTTTAAAATTTAACAAGAGTAAAAAAAAATTTCAAATTAAGTTCTGCTATGAATTAATATTATTTTTCAATTCGGTCAATGAAAAAAAAGTTCGGTACAATTTTAGGGGTCAGTCATCCCCACCTTGTAGTGCTCAATTAACTTTAAATCATAGTCAAAGAAGACCAGTAATAAACCTAAATCATGTACCAAATTTGGTTCTTTTGCGGTAGAGTATTGCAAATATTAATTTTTTTCGAAATTTAGAGCTCCACTTTGGGAGCTAATAACTCCTCAGCGGTGCAACTTTGTATATAGGTAAGTTTGGTTAAATTACAATATTTTGGATACCCCTAAATGCACCTGCCCTGTATCGGCTCTTATGCGGGACACCCTGTATTTGGCGCAGGCTAAATTGTGAAAATACAAAATTTATTGTGAAGGACATGGGAATATTTTATGTACTAAATGTGGGTTAAAATTTAGTACAAAATATTTTCGCATTAACATCTATTAATTTTAATGTCAGGTATGCTAAAAATAGTCTTTTCTGCAGTATCGAATAAAAGTAGTGGCAGTAGGTATACTCTTTAAAAAATTGCTGATCAAATCTGTTTCAAATCAAAATCTCATGATATGACTGCATAACAATATTCAAAACCTTTTTAAAATTGAGGTTAGAAACGTCGACTTTATCTGTCAAGCAGCGACCTTGAATATATCAGTCAAATTGCCTCGAGGTTATTTGAATTTGTGGAATACAGATTAATAATAATTTTATTGCTTAAGTAAAGTTTATACAATTTGGAAAATGGACTGATAAGTAAGAGTAAAATATAACTCAAACTTTTTGTAATTTTGCTGATTGTCAATTAAACTAATTATATAGGTATAGGAGTTTTATTGAAAAAAAAAAAAGATTTCAAACTGTAAATGTTTATGTATATTCTATGAAAACGTTTGTCCATTAAAGACTCCCTAGTTTTAACACTTTTAAGCCTTTGTGTTTATTCAAGATGTTCTAAACTATGAGCAAATAATTTAGTAGGGTGACTCATAAAAATAAACATCCTTTCAAATGTTTCGCTTTATTAGCTTTATTCTCAGTGCATCAGAACATTTCCAGACGCATTTGACTCCCAAACAATGAATTTTGAACCTTTGTCAGCATTATATCGGAATGCCTGCTCTGACTGTTGGAAGCTGTCTTGGATTACTCTAGGAACAAAGCTATTACAAATTAAACAATTTAATATTAAATAATCTAATAAAGGCATTCTTAAAACGAATCAAATTTACCTATTTAATAATACAAACCAAGCAGAATTTGAATATAAAGGAAAATTATGTTCTATACTATAGAATATTCTTGAATCTTTAAATTACATTTATTATTTTTTGAAACTGCAATTTAAAAATAGTTAGGTAATGTTTATCGGGTTTTGCCTGGAAAACGTAGCACCAAATATTTAGAATTGTTAATATTATTTATTCGGAATGAGATGACGTTTTTGTAGGATTTTTTTAATATTTATTGTTTGTTTAATTTTTTGAAAAGCCGCAATTCGAAAAGTTACCAATTTTTTAGTTACTAAAGTTCATTTGCGTTTTAGAGCTTTAGAATGTTGTTGATTTTTCGCTGGTGCAGTTTGTTAACAAAAATAAGTGTACCAAGTCTGAAAAAATCGCTAAATTGGGAAAAAGTTGTGATAAAATGTAAATTAAAGAAAATAACTTTGAGGTTATGTAACCTCGTTTATTTTTTGAGTGAAATTACCCCCTTACTTTGGGCTCATAGTTTCCGAACACCCTGTATCAACCTAGATTTAAGGATATAGCAGCAACTGACTGAGGATCTTCTTTTTTGCTAATTTAGTAAAAAGATGTTTACAAACTAACTCATTAAAGTTTTTTCGAAAAATAAGTAATTCACTGACTGCTGATAAAAAATTTTTACAATACTTTAAATTGAAGTTTATTTAAGTTGGACTAGCCAAAACAAAATACAGATAACATAAACATAGATATACATGTAAAAAGTTCTATAAATATAAATCTGTCTCTGGGAATGTGAAACCCGTATGGGTCAGCGAGCCACCTACTTTGTCCATTACTTTTAAAAGGTCACAGCTTCCACTATATGTGTTTATTAAGCCATAAAATGCATAGGGCTTTCACATAAACTCTTATTGTTTTCCAGACACAAATACAATACTACAATATTACAATGTATGGTTTTGCAAAATAACAAACTTAAATGTATCATTCAATAATTATAGTAACATTTCATTTTAGTATATACAAAATTAATTTAAAAATTTAGAAAAACTTTGCTTTAGGGAAACTCAATGCCTTTCATTTTAAAAATAAACTGTAATTTCAAAAGGTGCAAAATGAAATTATTTGGTTCTCGTATTCCTTCAGAATTGAAGTAAGCCTTAACTTTTAAAGATGGTTTTGTTAGTAAATTAGTGTTAAATCAATGTTTGCCTAATCAATTTTACATCAAAACAGGATGTTCTGAAAGAAAAACAACAACACATCGAACAGCTTCTGAAAGAAAGAGATCTAGAAAGAGCCGAAATCACCAGAGCCGCAAGTCAGGCTGACGAAGCTGAACAAAAATTGGCCACGTTACGACAAGAATATGAAAAAGTAAATTTTCGCAACTCAAATTTTTGTAATTTCTTTATTAACAAATCTTTTGTTTTCAGTATCGAGCGGAATGTGAGGTTAAGCTTCAAGAGCACATGAACTTGTTGAACAAATTGAAAGAAGACAGAAATGAACTAGTCGCGCAATTAGAGGATGAAAGGCGGAAAAATGAAGACCTGCTCTTCCGTTTGGAAGAAGCTTCTATAACCAAAGATGATATTGAGGTAATTACACTAGCACTAATATAAGTCAAAAATAAATCTTATTTTCTTGTGATCAATTTCTATTTCAGAAGAAAATGTTAACTGAAAGCGTAAGTCTTGGTGTGTGTGTGTATAAATAAAAATGTGTGGTTTTTGCATTTATTATTTGCTGTATAAATGACTTAGAGTTCAGGATATAAGGTTGGCAACAGAGTCATACTCAGTTTACTCTCTCATTTTTCATTTTAGTTTTGTCTATTACACGTTATTCCTAGTGATGGAACGGTTGTTCCATGAATTCCATTCTAGTTTGTACATTGCAGAAACTACTGTAAGAATGTGATGAGAAAGATTGTACATCGTGATGCCTTTAATGTTACAATTAGCGTTATGTCGGGAAATATTTTAAATGAACGTGTTCTTAATTTACATTTGTATATTTTATATAGTTTGTAAACTGAGTACTGTTCCATTACCGACTAGTGACCCAGAACTCTATAAATGATTTATTATAATAATCATAATCAACTTCTCCAATAGGACACAAATGAAGGCAACATCAGCAAAATCAAGGAACTGGAGGAACAGTTATCAAAAGAAAGGGACAAAGTTGACAACTTGGAAACAGAAGCCAACAAGCTGTTTGAAGCGGAAGAGAACCTCTGCAAAGCCAAAGAAGAAATAGAATGTCTTAGGAACCAGTTAAAAGAAGCTAGGAGCATCCAGATTTCACTGGAAGGCGACAGTGCTTCCACATCCGGTAAGTGTTTAGAACAATTGTGGGTCATAATGAAATCCATATTTTTCTAAACAGTACTCATATCATGTCTACAAAAGGAATCAGACCAGTACAAAAAGGACCTCGAAGAAAGGGTGGAAACAATCAGCATACTGAAACAAGAAATATCTAAGCTTAATTCAGAAATGAAGAAACATTTGGAAGAAAGTGGAAACAGAGTTTCGGAATTTGAATCTGTTTGTTCAAGCAAGAACCAAGAAATAGCTAATTTGAAGATAGAATTAGAACAAATCAGCAAACTGGTCCAAGAGAAAGTAGAAGCTTTGGAAAAGGTTACCACTGAGAAACTGGAATCTGAAACTGCTTTGGAGAAGGAAATTGAAAAGCTGAAAATGCAATTAAGTTCCAAAACTTTAGACATGGAAAATATATCTGAACAAATTAAAGCAAAAGAAAGCAGTATAGCTAAACTACAAACAAACTTAGAGCTCGCGATAACTAATTTAGAGGCTAAGAACAAAGATCTTGACAAATATAAAGACAGTTTAGGTAATATAGAGACAGGTTTGAGAGGAGAACTTGAATCACTAAAAAATCAGTTAAAACAAAAGTCTAGTGAGTACGATAAAATGATGAGTAACATGTCTACAGAGGTGACTGAAAGAGAAAAGAAGATTGAAGAAAATAATGCCACTATAACTGCAAACCTTGAACAAATAAGGAAGTTAACTGATGATTTAGAAAGTCTTAAAAAAACCTATGAAGAAACTACTGCTGAACTACAAAGCAGTTTCGGAAAAGATTTGGAAGAAAAGAATGGCCAATTGAAACAGTTAGCTGAAGAATTTAAGCAAATAACTGAAGAAAACAAGAAAAATGTAGAGAATTACAATGATATTAAAAGTAATTATACAAAGAAGTGTGAAGACCTAGACAAAATAAAAGCAGAATTAGAGTCTGTAAGGAAAGAACTTGAAGACAACTTGAGTAATAAAACTGCAGAATTACAAAAATCATCTGAATTACTTAAAGAGAAAGAAAACCAGATTCAAGTGTTGCAAACTGAGTTACAAACAACAAAAGTTGATTTAGAATCTGTTTCCAGCAATTTAGTCCAGTATCAAAGTAATTTGAGTGACGTGGAAGCCAATTTGAAGAAAGAAAGAGATGAAATAAAGGAAACGTTAAAAATGAAAATAATAGAATTAGAAGATGTAAAAAAAGAATTTTCAGAGAAGCTTTCAGAAAAGGATAAACAAGTGGAAGAACTTTCAACAACTCTAACAAACAAAAGTGAAGATATTGAAAAGTTAGTAAAAGATCTGACCAGTTTGAAGGAATCTCAAGAAACTGAGAGAAAGAATATACTCGAAGAATATAATAAGAACATTCTACAAAGAGATGAAAAATTGACATCTCTCTCCACTGAAGTTCAAAATAAAATTGAAGAAATAACTGACCTGTCTTTGAAGTTGCAACAGTTAGAAAATTCCGATAAAGGAAAAGACATCCTAATAGAGAATATGCGTAAAGACATTGAAGAAAAATCGGAGCAGCATAAATCGGAATCTGAAACCGTTTTGAAACTAACAGCAGAAATCAAAACTCTATCTCAAACTAAACAAGATCTAACATCAAAAGTAACGGACCTGGAGAAAGTACGTGTGAATTTGGAAACCTCGAATAAACTATATGAAAATGATATTGAAAGCTTAAATAAGGAATTGGCTGCCAACGCCGAGAGTATCAAACAAAAAGAAGAGGCAGTGAAAACACTGGAAAGTGAATTAGTTTCAGTGAAGGACAGTTTAGAGAAAACATCCAACGATTTAGTACAGTATCAGAATAATTTAAGTGATGTAGAAACCAATCTTAAAAAAGAAAAAGATGAGGCACAAACTTCTTTGCAAGCAAAAGCAAATGAATTGGAAATGGTTAAGAATGAGTTAATAGGAAAGACATCTGAAATCGAAGCCAAGCTTGAAGCAGCTACAAAAGCTGTTAGTGATAAAAATGAAGAATTAGTTAAATTAAATAATGAAATAAACGTCCTTAAGAATGAAAATGAAAAGGCTATAAAAGATTTGGAAACTGAAGAAAAACATAAAAAACAATTAGAAGATATAGAAATTAAAGTTTCTGATTTACTCACGGAAATCGAGAACAAAGATACAGAAATCACTAAACTATCTCAAGCTATTGTAACATTTGAAGAAAATATTAATGTGAAAAATAAAGAATTAGATATTTCACAAGATGAAATAGAGACTCTGCAAAAGGAACGTCAGTCTACCAAAGTCATCATTCTCAATCTAAAGAAAAAAAATGATGAACTGGAATCCAGCAATGAAGAATTTAAGAAACTATTGATGGAGTCTACGAAACAATTAAACGAGTTATTTAGTAAAAAGGAAAAAGCAGAAGATGATCTGAAATCAGTAGCCTCTTCTGCTGGTGATGCAAATTCGAAACTGAATGAAATAACTAAAAAACTGCAAGAGAAGGATGCCATTCTAGAAGCGACAAAATCAGAGTTGCAGGCTAAGCTAGATACAGCGGAAAACACAGTGAAAACATTAACAGAAAACAATAAAGAATTGGGAATGGTCATGGAGAAGCAGAAAGTGGAGTATGAAGATAAACTTAAGATTGCTTTAGAATCGGAAGAGACACTAAAGGATATTATAGCAGCCTCAAGTGCCGATTCGGATATGATCAAAGATTTACAGAAAAATCTTGAAAATGCCAGGACCAACCTTTCCGATAAAGATAAACAATTAACAGCACAAAATACAGAGATTCTGAAACTCAAGGAAGAATTAACTAAGGTATGATTTTATTATAGCTCTAGTAAGTCAATTATTGAGTTTCTTTTTAGGTCCAGCAACAACAAAATAACGTTAATAGTGTGGATAATTCAGACCCGAATTCTGTAAGTAACCTTGATCAAACATAGATTGGTTTTGAGTGCTCGGGTTTATTTAGATTGGATTTTATAACACAGATAAATGTTTTTTTTTTTTATTTTTGATTTGTATTATCAATAAACCACACAAAGGCAAAATTCAAGGTGCTTTTTTAGACTTGCACTTCAATAAATATTTTTTTATCTTTTTGCAAAAGAACCTGCTAATTTAGCTGCCTTTCGGTATTACTCTTTCACAATTTCTTAATAAAAAAAACACTTAGTTGTAAAAACTGCACGTGCTCTTAGTAAAAAAACTTAAATATTGACATTTTTGGAATATTCCAAACTGTAGATGCATCACTGAGCTTTTTAATGTTCTCTTTGCTTGTGCTGCGCTTTGCATGTTTTTTTTTTTTATTGATTAGGCTGCCATTAAATCCAAACCTGATTACAAACAGCTGCTGGAGGAGAAATTGTTCGCTGAAAACCAGGTAGCTTTCTTGAATACAATCATTGTGGACATGCACAGAAAGAATGAGGAACAAAAGGCGCGGATCGAAATCTTAGAGATGGGCTACAGTTCTTCCGCTGCTGATGAGCTTGCTGCGTAAGGTCACGATTACATTAGTAACCTCTTTTAGTAACATTCTATTTTTAGTCTTGGATTCAAGCCGGATAGTAAACAACCAACTCCACGAATGTATTGTGATATATGTGAAGAATTCGACCTTCACGAGACTGAAGATTGCCCCACTCAGGGCGAGGATGAACCACCACCAGTTAATCCTCAATTAGGAGACAAACCTAAGGAGAAGCCTCCGCCTAGGCCTTATTGCGATATTTGTGGTGGTAAGTCTGTTTACTTTGTACTTTTTTCCATTAGTTCTTTACTTTTTGTTTGTAATAAAAATGAACATTTGTTTCAGTCTTTGGACATGCTACTGAAAACTGCACGGAAGATCAGGAGTTTTAGCAAAAAATAATGTACATATGGTGCCTATTTATTATTAAAAATAAATTAATTCCAAACGTGTTATTCGTTGAACTTGTATGTAAAGTTTTGTTAATTAGTCGTCGTCAAAAGTAAAATTAATAAAACCATTCTATTTTAGTACTTACGGCATTTATTTCCTCAGCAGACTTTCTTATAAATTGTCATAAATTCATAAAGTAACTCACTTATCAAAAATATACATTTATATACTTCTTAAATTAGAATATAAATTAATCTAGACCCTCTTTTTTCTCTTTAATTGCTTCCTACAAAAAATAATATCAGTTATTATAAAGAAAGAAACAAATTCAAACTTACTTTAAATCGCTCCTCAAACAAAGATAATTCAGCAATCAAATCAGTTATGGCATGCATTAGAGCTTCTTGAGGTGAGTAATCGGATGTGGTTTGGATTCTTAATACGAATTTATGTTCTAAAGGATGAGGCAGCTTGTATCCAGCAAATAACACATTTGGATCTTTCAACAATTGGCTAAAAAAGAATTGAATTAATATTCCAAGATAACAACAATCTTAACATACTTTCTAATCATATTTCCTAAAGTGTGGTCCTCTTTATTTATGGTAAAAATAGCTGCATTTGGTACTTTTGTGTCTTGCTCTCGAATTATCCTAAAATATGTAGGATTACACAATGTAAAAAAAATTAAATACCTACAACTTACTTTTTTTCGCCATCGTATAATAAAAATGATTCAAAAGTCGGAGGCGCATTCATTTTTAAAAAATCTCTTTTTTTAACTTATCGAGCAGTTAAAATGATATATCAACACTCCGTGTTTGATATTTGACAATTTGTCAAACAATTTGCTCGAATGAATACTCGGCTCTCGACTTATCGACCAAGCAGAAATATTTGATGTATGCTGCCATCTCTGTTTATTTTATCGTGTTAAGTGATTGCACAATTTCATAGAACTAACAATAGAGGGCGGAGCAGATATAATTATCGGAATTTACAATTTATTTATTTAAAAATAAATAATTAGAAATATAGGATTTAAAAAATAAATTAGGTTGCTGCATATCACCTATCAGTTGTAGGAGTTGTGTTTTCCATTGGTTCATCAGATTAAAATCAATTTCCTCGATCGTGGCGTATCCGCCTCCTTTCCACTTTTCCTCATTTTCATCAGTCTGCGCGAGTTGGTGTTGCCGGTAGGTTGTTTCGCAAGTCTCGCTAAAAAATGGCGGAAGCCACAGGTGCGTCAAGTGTTAATCCAAATGCCGAAGTCGTAAGGGGACAAGTTTTTGAAGTAGGCCCACGCTACACAAATCTGGCCTACATCGGGGAAGGAGCCTATGGCATGGTCGTGTAAGTATTATCTCAGCTTTGTCGAGTAACCCTGTTTATAAACTTACACGCCCTAAAACAATGGGTTGTGGGGATTTTGGAGACGAAAATCCGCTTATTTTATGATTTACTTCGTTGCCATAACATATTTGTTGCAATCCAACTGGCGTGCATTATAAATCATTTCTTATGTTAAAATTGAGGTTATGTTATGGTGACATACAATGAATGGGGGGTAAATCGATCTCATGTCTAAAATTAAGGCAGCAGATGATAAAATGTACTTTGATATGCAAAACGGATTTATGTTTGAAAATTTTCATTAAAGTATAGGTAACCAAAGTTCAATTAATTATTAAATTATTTATTTTTAGTATCTACCTATCACTTTTATTTACATTAAAATACATTTCAAAACCCGAATTCTATAGCAAATTGATCATTTCTCACTGTTAATTTGTATGAGCAAATAACATTAATAATGCGGTCATAAACCTGGCGCAACATAATGAAACCATAAAAGCGTAACTACGAAATGCGACTTTAATTTATTTATATAAATAGAGACACTACAACATTAATCTGTTTACTGTTATTGCCGTTTCATATTAATTAGTACTCAACAAGTACCAAAGCGCGCTGTGAACGGAATACCACGCCATGCCATTTATAATCTTATAAATGCAGTGGCTGGCGAATACATTCCTTTTGATTCTGTGTATCTATTGCTTATTATTTTAGTCCAACCAAGAAATTCTTAGAATATGAGAATAAATAAATGAATACTGCAATGACAAGGAGAAGTAAATGTTTGGGATCAGAATGTCTTGACTAATATGAAAATCCTTATGGTAAAAACAATTAAACAAATATTAAGTATATACAGGGTGTTTCTGAAATAAATGTGTCTTTTCAGGGTAATAGAACAAATTATTTTATATCAAAAGTTTCCTGTGAGCGTGGGTCGTAATTCGCTTCGTTTTCGAGATACAGGGCGTTGAAATTAGAAAAAATATCACACTTTCTATATCTCTGAGGATGTTTGATGTGCACTGATGAAAGTTGAGCCATTGGTTTATCTAATTTTAAGTAGAACTAAAATTCAGCTAAGTTAACTTACAAATATGTCAACCAGTGGCAAATATGCGAGGGGTCAGTAACATTGAAAGCCTCAGAACTTCTACGCCAATGAGTTATTTTGCTAATTCAATTAATGTTTTTATTACCAATGGAATTTGTAAGAAAAAAGATCTCGTGCAGTTTGTTCATAAAACCAGCCATTCTAGAGGTCTGAACTTTTTATATTAAAATGAGCTTACGCTTACAAATCGAAAATAACTATACAATTATTCGTTGCACAAAAATAGTTGATGGGGAATTTGTTGTTAAAAATACATTTTTCGAAAATTGTCATCAAAAGTCGACATTTTCGTTACATTTTCAGTTGACAAAGTGGGTCTTTTTTGTCATCTAGCTGCAAACTACTTTTATGTTCTAGAACGCCAAAGTCTTTTTCGTTCTAGAACATAAAACAAACAGTATATATTCATTTGGTCTGGATTTGATCTCACAAAACATTTCAGAGTAAGAGTTTTGGAATCGTAAATTCTGATAATAATAATTGAATCTTTGTCTTGTATACACTGATCGTTGGTAGCTCATTTGTTCTCGAAGCTCCACAAACATGAATTATTAAAATGACCTGAAAAGTTGTCCAAATTTAGTTAAATCGTCGATTTATATTAATTTGAATTACCTTTTCTAGCAGAAATCTATTATCAGGTGCTTCTTGTAAAAATCTCTCAATTTCCTATTTCGTTAGAATTCTGGACATTTTTTAACGGTATCCAACTTATTTGCTTTTCAAATTTGGTATTAGTTTTGGAAATTTTCTGATATTTACTTACATATTTTTTGGCATTCAGTGTATACTTTTTAACATGGAATATACTATACACTTTTTGATTTTTTTTCGAACTACACCACCCTTTGAATTCTTTGTAGGCAATTTCGTACTGTCTCGACGATTTGTTGGGGATTAATTGAAACATCACTTTGTGCCGCTTCCAATACTTCCCCTGGTAAATACTCGTCTTCACTTTCCGAGTTCATTTTGAATTAAACACTCTTAGAATATGAATTACAATATACCGGGTGATTCAGTTTGGTATTCGCGGCCCTGTATCTCTTTTATTTTAACAAATACCTATAACAAACCCTATATATTTTTAAATCGCCGCTCAAACTCTATCAAATGACATTATTAGATCGTCTCCATGGTAACATATGTCAAAATTGCTATAGTCAACTGTTTTTATTCAAATGGCACACTATATAATTCTGGAAGATATTTTTTTTCTCTGTTCAGCTGTGTAAGGAAGTCTATAGTTTCTTTAGAAATATTGCTAGAAAAACAGTAAAAATGATGAACCCTACTTTTTGTAGCTTTATTCTGATAACCAGCTGCGGAAACAAGTTATTATGTTTTTTAAAGTAACATATTTTATTTTTAATACGATAATAATATAACAATTTATAAAATAATGCTTATTTCAAATGTTCAAAATGACCTCCATTTGCTTTCAAACACAGAATAGCTCTGTTTATCACTCCCTCTCTACAAACACATTCTACTGTTTCTTCATTTAATCTCCGACAATCTACTATTATTCTGTTTTTAAGATCATTATTATCATTTAGGTAAGGCCAAAGAAATCTATAGGGGTGAGACTCGGAGATCTAGCAGGCCATTTAACATCTTTATCGAATGTTCTTCATCTCTTGCCCTTCTGAGTTTAAAAACTCTTCTTTTCTTTTGAAAACTTCCNCCTTATTTTATTGCAGTTTAATGGATTTAATTAATTATTAATTTTTTTTAATTTATCAAATAACGGTGTAAAATAGTGTTCAAAAGAATGAATACTAAATTGACACAATTGATAATTGAAATATCTATCATAATGACGGTGTCATTTTAAGCAACAGCTGATTCTCCCTCCATAAATTCATCAGAAAAATTAAATGATTCTTTGATCCATCTGATGCCTTATAATGAACACTTGCGGATAGGTAAATGTTACTTGTAATTTTTATTATTGAATTGAGATATTTCCGAGGATATTTCCATGTGCATAAATTTGCCCTTAGATCAGTATAAGTATCCCCAATTTCCTAAGACATTATTTCTCGTTTAATGCATCTCGAAATAAAGTTATTACAAAATAATAGACTAGTAAGATATTAATCTACTATTACATTCTTTTTTATTCGTTTAAATTCTAGGTTTTAGGAAATGATGAGTAAATGGAAAACACAATTTATTTTTTTAAATACCTATGTATCTACATTCCTTATATTTATTTAAAATTGATAAGATTAATTTATGTTTATATATGGAAATATCGTTTGTAGATAAGGAAATAGTTATTTCACAAACTTTTGTAGACTGCACCTTTTAATTTATTCTAATAAAGTCTCACAAATACATTGAATGAATGGCTATTCTTGCGTCGATCGTCATTCAGAAAGAAAAATACATCTAACGAACAGTTCTACTCGTTCTCATCCTTCTTTTTTTATTTATTCCATCTTGACGGGCTAAAAGACCCCTTTTGACTTCCTTATGCAAATTTAGCGTCGTAAACATTTCAAAAACCAATTTAATCCGTGAGAAATTTACTGTTTCAGGAAAAAAAGACGCCTTTAATGAAAATTACTTTCTCGCCGCCGTTACTCATTCAAATTGGGTTTTGAATTGCTAATCTTCCGTGCCACTATGCGTAATGGAAAAATTGTACTTGATGAAGAATAATTTTTTAATAATCAAGTGGAACGCGTGGGTTTTCTTATTTTAAGGTCAAAAAGTCTAAGCACATTGTGAAGTCGAGGTTCTTGAGAATAGACTTTTCTGCAATGTTATGATTTCAAAAGCAAAAGTTGTCGTTTCTTTGGATATGAACTAATAGTCCAGACGGTATCTGTTTCAAAAAGCCATATTTGGGTGAATCGTATATCCACGGAGATTTTTGGCTTTTTGGCTTTCAAATATCACTAGAAATGAAAATTTTTCTATGCGCATAAAAAAAAACGTGGGCTTAACTTTTGGCGGCACAATATGTTAAAAAAATTCGAAAAATGTCATATTTTTCTTCCTATTTAATTATGTATCTTTTCAAGAGTTGATTTTAGGCGAAAATGGAAAAGG